AGCATTTACTTAAGAATTTTTCACATAAATCATGCTATTTTTCTTTAAAAGTCGCGGGCATATCCTTAGGGACTCAAGGTATTTTTCAACCATTTGTCAAAGCATTTCACTTCTTAGCTCATCCATTGGTATATTAAAATGCAACACATTTTATTAGAATAAAATGTAACCAATATATATACACCCCTAAACATCCTATAGTTCGAAACATAGAGCAAGTATTTGTAGGATTTTTTTCCAACTTTGGCATTTCCACCAATTCATCCATTTACACTACATTCCAACATATTTTACCTTTTCAAACATATAATAAAATTTTGCATGATGAACCCTACATAACCCATGAAGGCCGAAACCTAGGGGAAAGGTGCACAAGGGCTTTTCAATTTTTTTTATCACAAGTTGATGCTTACTAACACTATCCTTCCTAACCAACAACAATCCATCATAATTTTCACCTACTTGCACACATAAAACCCCTCTCAAATACATCAATTATAATTTGCACAATAACTCTTATTACCCTATCAAGGCCGAACATAAGGAGGGAAAACATATGATTTTTCTCTACTTTTAACATGCATTAAAATGCTCCTTTTCATTACTTACATCCAAGGTACCAAGGATTCATCAACAAATCAATTTTTAACTCATAATACTCTCCCATCAAAACATATCTATCAATTTGTAACTTAAAATAATCAAGACAACATCATGAGAATAGAGGTTTGTTACCTCCAACAACTACCCCAAAGCCTAGAAGTCCTTTACCAAAAGGATCTCCACCAAAAACTTCATTTTTGCCCTCTTGATGAATAGTGCACGAATTTGAAGGAGAGGATAACTCTTCACACACTCAACAAAACCTCAAATTGATGGTTGGAATGGGTTCATTGGGTGTTTTACAAGCAATTTCATGTGGTGGGTCTTTGAATTTGGAGTAGAAATGATGGAGAATCAAGGAGAAGAAATTCAAAACCCTACCCCCCTTCTCCAATGGTGCAGCTCGGTTTTGAGAGGGTGAGAGGAGAGAGAAACTGATTTGGGATAATGAGACTAAGTCACTTATAAGGCTAGCACATGTGGCCTTTTTTAACAGATATTTTTCTATCGCGTATTTTAACTTAAATTGACCCGGAACTAACTTAAAGCTACGAACATATTTTTATTTTTCTAAAATCATTTACATTAATTTTTATTTGTTACAAAACAATATTCATAATTCACAGTATGGTTTCTGCACCGTTTTTGACGAAATGCACTGTGAATCACTAACTGTACTTCGCTCACTTCTGAACTTAGAACTTATAAACTTATTATTTTCTTGGGCTTATATTGACTTGCTTGGCATATATTGGACTTTCTTATTCTTATTTCATCAAGTATTTATTTCTGGACTCTACCGGTTGCTTAAACAGCAGTACAAAATACCCGGTAGAAACACTATTCACGAGATTTTCACGGAAAGTGCCAGACTATACAATTTTTCGTTCTGAACTCATATTTGTCGTCAGAATTATCAAATTATGTCTCTAAAATTATTTTGCTATTTTTAAGCTCTACCGGTTAATTCACAAAACTGTAAATTCTCCGGCAGAACGCACTGTTCATAACATAGTCATGATTACAGTCAAAATACTCGGAATCACTCACTAAATCTAATTATGGCATTTAAATCCTTAAATTAAATCTCTAATTAAGATTTACCATTTAGGGTCATTATACAGTGTAACTAGGACTTGATGTATTACAGGTCATTTTTTGTATTACAAGCCCTTTTTTTTAGTAACTCAGAAATGAGGACAAGTCATTTAATTATAATTTTTAAACGGGAACTGTTGGTTTGGCTCGCATATTGAGTTGAAATATATTTTGTTGTTGGTTATTGTACTGATTTCGATCTGATATGTATTACTTATTTCAATCTGAGTTGAAAAATTTTGTTAACATGTTACTGCCAGAAAGACCATAAGCAATTTGTTAACATTGAGTTTCTGTAATCATGCTTCTGCTGCTGTTGGTTATCTGCAGCCATTGTGCTGATTTTTATATGTTATACTTCAATACTGTTGTTGGTTATACTGTCCAGCTCTTGTGTTTGAGTTTGTTAACATGTTACTGCCAGAAAGACCATATGTTGGACTGATGCAATGAGTTTGAGTTTGTTATCAAATGAAAAATGTTGTTAAGATGCAATGAGGTTGCATTGGTGAATGTTGTTGAGGTTGCATTGGACTTGGAAAAATCAAATTATGTAGATCATAACTGTCTAACCAGTGTTATCAAAAGTAAAGGAGATATAGGACCAGAACAACAAACTTTTCTGATTATGTCAAACATTGAGTTCCTATCTTCCATCCCATTTCCTTTTCCTTTTCAGTCCCCTTAAACTAGCTAGAAGGGAGGTTGTCTTATCCATGTCATTTCAAATAGCACTATAGCTAGTTATACAAGAAATGTGGTAACTAAGCCACCACAATGACAGTAAAATATAGACTCATAAAATGTCCAAGTTTTCTATCTAGAAAGTGCACCATATGAACTTACTGCATTTTCAAAAACAAATATCTTCTTTATTATTAAAAAATACAAATCAAACATATCTTTATACTTCAACTTGTTAGAGAAGTTAGATCTTATGTTAATATGCACTTGTAAATTTTATTGTGTTGAACTTTTGTTACCACTTATGTAAATCCAACAGTATCCTTTTTCCAGAATTTCAACTATTCGGAGTCTCCAATTCAATCTTTTTTTTTTTTTTGAAAAAAAAGGGAAGAAAATGGGGTTTAAGATTGACCCAGCTGTTGTTAGGTGCTGAATGAAGAGCAATTTGAGTTTTTGTGTTAAGTTAACTAGTTGTGCTTGCAGAAAAACTGGTTTTCAGCTTCTGGGTATATAGTTTTCAATCTTTATCTTTTCTCAACGAAGGTTAAAGGGGATAAAGTTTGGATTTTTACTACTTGAGGGCAGTGACTGTGGGGCTGAAAGCAACAAGAGTTTGTAGCGGTGGTTTTCAAAGATCTGGGTTTGGTGAGCAATGGAACCTCCTAAGGGATTTTGGGCTTCATTGTGGAGCTTTGTCTGCTTTCTTCCTTTTTTTTCATTGGCCTTTGGTTTCTAGGCACCATCAAAGGTGAATTTCAATGACTATGGCTCCATTCTTGTGCGTTATTTGAGCTTCTTTTTGTTATGTTTTGATTGGGAAAATACAAGAGAAGGAATTTCGTGATGATTATTTTAGTAAATGCATGCAATACTGTAATGGAACATCTATGCATGCTTATTTTTCTTTATTACAAGTTATTTTATGTAATCATTCATTTTTCTGTGAAATTTAGTCGGCTTTCTTTTTCTTTAACATTACGGTGGAGTGAACCAGAGGCGGATTTAGGGGCTCCAAATACGAGAAGTGATATTTTTATACTTTTTTTCTTTCTTCTATTCTCTCTCCTCTCTCCTTTATATGTGAGTGTAGAAAAATAAGTTTATCTCGCGTTAAATGAGATAAACAATTTACATAAATAAAAGGTTTTACTTTTCTACGTTGTAGGAGAGAAGTTATCTCATATTGTGAGATAAATTAAGTGCCTGTTTGGATCCTCTTATTTTTAAGCTAGAAGCTACTTATAAGCATAAGCTAGGCCAAACAGGTTTTGGGAAAAGCTCTTATAACGAAAAGCTCTTTTTTTTATAATGAAGAAAAAAGCTGAAAACTAAAAGCTCCTAGGAGGAGCTTTTTTTTAAGCTCTTATCTATTTTTCTTGAATTGTGTGCTTTTTTTTTAAATGAAGAGTGATAAAGATAGAGAGAAAGATAATTTTCTTGAAATATGTGATTTTAAGTAATTTTTAAGCTAAAACTTTTATGTAATTTCCAAACAGCTTTTAGCTTATTTTTTTAAGCTCTTTTTTTTTAGCTTTAGCTTATAAGTAGCTTCTAGCTTAAAAATAAGAGGATCCAAACAGGCTCTAAGTGGAGCCCACCAATTTTAAAAAAAAGAAAAAGAAAAGAAAAGAGATGCACGTCTTTTGATGTGAGTGTAAAATGAGAGAGTAATCTTATGCAAAGTATAATTTCCCTAAATAAAATGATTTGAAGAGTGGTAAAATTGGAATTGATTGCTCATCAACATAGAATTGCAATAATGTCCCATTATGCCATATCATTTCCCTCACCCTCCTCCCAAACATGTCCAATCAAACGTAGTTTCAAGGGTAATTGTCATCAATTAAATACTTCAAACTCTTCAATCAACATTGCACTTGATAATTCTTTAGTATGGTTACAACTTACAATAGCTAACGGCTACATTTGCATACTAAGATAACTTGCAAATAACCCTCCCAGGAGATATATCATGTGTCTGTATGTATATAACTGTGATTACACACATTTTTGGATTGGTCTTTGTGCAGGACCCATATACTGTGCAAAGGCTACCTCATTTTATCTCAATTCTATGCAGATATTGAAAGAATACAACAGGTGATGTAGACAAATAATGTGGTCATTATCTTATGCTTACTAATATTTGGATGTGCAGCATAAAAATCCCATTAGGAATAGAAAGGGAGAAATTTATAGAAGGAAGATAGGTTACCATGCTGTGTAGTTCAGTCACAAAAAAGGGGAATAAAAGAGAGAGCAAAAAGTGAAGCAATAGTCCTACAATATGTACAACCTGAAGTGTTAAATCCTAAAGCATTTTCCTTATCTGAATTGGGGATTGAAAATAAATAGTTCAGTTAATAGCTTCTGGAAAATGGAAAAATAGAGAAATTTGAATGACTTCTTTATTGTAAGTAACTATGTAAGTATGATTCATGTATTGCTTGCAGGGGAAATAATATAACTAGATAAGAACATCATATAAAACTTTTTTAAGCCTTCAAAGAACCTTAACCATGGAAACAAGCTCCTTGTTGGCATAAGATTTTGGAACTGTCACTGTAAGTAATATATCTTAAACAACAAATAGTATCTCCCAGGGCCTTGAGTTAGAACGATCTGGGTAGCTTCTCACTGTATTCAACTATGGCTGATGGTGGAAGGAGACCAGTGCTTATCTCATGCACTGTTGAGAAGAGAGGAAACAACTCTAGCCACCCACGATGGCTTAGAACCTCATAAACCTCACTCGCAGTTGAGACACCCTTATTGCAAGAAAGTTAGAATATAAAGGACATCAAAATCAAGAACACAAAAACCACACTACTTGGTATGATTCTTTGATCAATTGGTAATGATTCTTTTTAGTAAAAAGAATTTTATGCTTTAATTTGTGGTTGGAAGAAATTTCCATGAATATGAAATTTCAAACTGGGTTTGATTGTTTTTTTAGTCTTGAGTTATGGATAAAGATATTATGAAGCTCATAATCTATGCACAAATAAGCATGGTGTTTTCCATTTTTTCACTTTGCTGCACTTATATTTAACAAGTTATCACTATATAATGTGTGCAAGATTATCTAGTACTATTTTCCAGAGTAAATATTATATTGTTTGCTATATTAAGTTTCATGAATGTACCTGTAATTTCTGGCCTTGAAGCATCTCTGCTTCAAGCTCATCAAAAGACCTGCATAAAAGAACTAAAATCAGATATAACTAAATCAACCATTTTCCTTTTGTCACCCTAGAAATATGGACCAGAGAGAAAGAAATACAAAGCAACCTCTTTCCCCCATTCTTTGCATAAGCCTCAGCAACTTTCCTGTTTCTTCCACCCACTGCCACAGATAATATGGTTTTAATGAAACAAAGATAAGCAATAAAAATTGGGGTGAAATTAATTAGCTTCCTTACAGCATGTTGTGATAAGGTCAGCTACACCACAACTCTCAAAAAAGGTGCTGTCCTTAACTGATGGAAACAACAACTTTGAAAATGCTTTCATCTCTCTAAGACCAAGTCTCATGATTGCAGCCTACACATATTTAGAGAACAAAAAATAAGATACTATATATATATATATATATTTAGGAAAAAGTGTTTGTCCTTTTAAATGATACAACCTATGTCATTTCACTCTCACAGAGAAATGAGACCCACATCTTTATTTTATTTTTTTGTCCACTCCCCCCCTTTATTTATCTCTTTCTCTCTCTTAAAATAACATAACTTTACATACTTTAAAATGACACACACTTTCTTATATATATATATATACCAAGTAAGGATCATTTTTCCTGCAAGTTATACTCTCAATCCTGCTCTTATATGAACCATTAGATACAAATAGATAATAAGTGTAAGACTTCTTATATTTACACCATGTAAGAATAACTTGGCATATATAAATATAAATCTTTTGATCATAAAATCCTTTAAACTTACTTTCGTATTATTTCCCATCTCCAGGCCATCAACAAAACCTGTCCCATTTATGTGTCATTCCTTGAACCTTCACAAAATTTGAAAAAAAGGGAGAGAACAAATTGCAGATACAGTACAACAAACCTGCTGCTAAGGCCACAATATTTTTCAGAGTTCCACAGAGTTCAACTCCTTCAACATCCTGAACCTATTTATTATAGAATTCAAAAATCATAACCACAAAGTAAAATATCTCAAAGTTCTACAAATTTAAAAAAACTAATGATCAAATGATTCTGTCCTGACAATATTTCATTATTACTGATTACTTTAAGCAAATTCCTGAGTTTCATTCAGAATTACTTGTAATAATTTTTTCAACATTTTGCTACTCATTTATTAAAAAATGTGATGCACTCACAGCTGTCACAATGAAATAGGGAGTATAAAATAACTGAACCCATCTCTCAGAAACTTCTCTATTATGCCTGTATCCAACAGTTGCTTCACTAAACTTCTCTACAGCTATCTGTACAAACAGTACTAATTAGAACAACCAAATATACATAAACATAAACATAAACATCATCATCATAATAATAATAATAATAATAGTAATAATATCTTCTAAGTTCTAACTACCTCATTTGCTATGTTGGCTCCCATTAAAACACAACAATTGATTCCCAGTAACTGGGAGATGAGACTAGAAATCATGCATGGGCCTTCCATTTTGACCTCCATCCCTTTGACAAGAGAAATAGCCTCAGCATCTGCCCTTATTTTCCCAGAAAGCCTTTTGCATATTCCTTCCATAAATTGATGTGGAGTCACAAAGACTAACATATTGGCATCCTTCACTGCATAATTTACCCGATCAGAATAGTACAAAACCCCAACCTAAAAGTAAAGAGTGAACAATTTTAAATGCTTTTGGAGTCTTGTATCCTATTTTCAACTTATGAATCCGGTTCTTTTGGTATAAGTTCGTGATTTTTATCTTCTAAATCAAAGTAAATAATTAAACAACGTTAACATCACCAACATCAACATCACATTTATCCCTGTTAAGAGTGTAGAAGTCCCACATTGAGTGTGTCTCTTTGTATTCTTCAATTGGTTTGCTATATAATAGCACCAATGTTGTGTAGTTTAATACAACAAGGATTACTATCATTTCCTCTTGTATCTATGATATTCAACATGGTATCTAGAGCCTAACAAGAGGAATCTTAATCCGTTTAACTTAATTCTATTTTCCATAATTTCGATATGGTTATAGAGAGATATCACCCTCCTTGAGGGATTCCCGTTGCTATTTCTTTTTCGGGTTTTTTTTAGTATGCTCTGTGACTGCAGCTTAGACTGATCTGTCACATCAGAAAAGAATGATCCTTGGGAAGTTGTTGGGTTGACCACCGTTGTCGTTGACCGACCACCGTTGATAGCCGTCTCCGGCGACTTTTCCGGTGACTTTTCCGATGACTTCCAGCGACTTTTTCGGCGATCCACCACCGTCTCCAACGACTTTTTCGACGACCCACCGCCGTCTCCGGCGACTTTTCCGATTCCGCGAAGCTTTGTTTTTCTTTAATCTTCTTTCTTCCCAAGATGGAGTATTTATACTATTCATCATCCATCTTGAGGGGTCCAAGTTGCTGATGTTGTCTCCGTTGATGTTAATTCCGACACCGAAGTTCCTCTTGGAGGGGAGCACTGTCCATGTTGCTGATGGTCATTCCAGCACAATTGCCTTTGCCGATGATAATTCCGGTACTCTTTAGAAGTTCCTCTTGAGGGGGAGCACTGTCCATGTTGCTGATGGTCATTCCAGCACAATTGTCTTTGCCGATGATCATTCCGGCATCTTCCACGTTGATGTAGCATTGTTGTTTTTGGTTCCTAATGGGAGTATTATTTATGTATCAAGCTTGTAGCATATGATCTATATGCTACAGCTTGAGGGGGAGTGTTAAGAGTGTAGAAGTCCCACATTGAGTGTGTCTCTTTGTATTCTTCAATTGGTTTGCTATATAATAGCACCAATGTTGTGTAGTTTAATACAACAAGGATTACTATCATTTCCTCTTGTATCTATGTTATTCAACAATCCCAAACTGTAAACAATTAAAATAAAACTAAATTAATACCTGCATTTTCAAGGTCTGGATCTGCAACAACATTTTTGCCAAGCTTGATTCCAGGGAGATATTTGACATTTTCCTGCCAAAAGGAATAGTAATATTCATTGAAAAATATGGAACACATAAGGGGAATGAAATATTGAAATGCATGGCTAGTCCTTACATTGGTTCGATTGATAACATCTGTGAGCTTCTCCCCACTTGGTAATGTCTCCTCATATACCCACATCCTCACTTCATCTGAATTTATCAAAAGATTCATCAAAATGGGAAATTTAAGATTCTAAAGAGAGAAAGTTATGTTTCAGCATACAGCAGAAAATTTCCATAATCCAAAGTCACTGTGGCATTTTATTTTAATCATTTTCACCCTCCCACACCCCAACTTGGGATCATCATGTTACACAAATTCCCTTGTCCAAAAACACATCATCTTCATGAATAAGAACCTCATTAACATACATATGCTCACATTCCATAACTCAAAAGAGAAGAGAATACTAAGGATCAAGAAAAGTACCATGGAAGGAGCTTAGCCTGAGGGTGTTGGAGGCAATAAGCTTAGCTGCAACACTGCCCCAGTTGCCACTACCAATGACTGTGACTTTGGATCCCATATGTAGCATCATCGACACTATTCAAGAAGTTGTTTTGGGCCACAGTTTCACCCTCTCCTGGAACTTGGGCAGGGGCCATGAAGAACAAGAGAGGGACAAAGAGAGAAGTGTGCAATGCAATGCAATGAAGGGAACAGTGACACAGAGAAGTAGAAGATAGACTATGAAGAAGAGGAAGAGAATGAATATAAGGGAAAGACAGGGGTCATTGGATGGCACACCAGTTTCGTGAAAAACTATATTTTGCAGTGTGAAACTATGTTTATCCAAATTTTGAAGTTAAATCTGGCGATTCCCACTATGTTTGCAGTGTGACACAGGACACGACAATTACCTTGTTTTTGTTTGCTGATTAGGTAGGGACCACTTTGTGAACTAATCCATGCATTCCTATTGCAACTTTTGTTTCACTTCTTCAACTTATGTGTCCATCTAAAGCTCCATCATCAAGGATTCTATTAGCTTCATAGCTCATGGGTCGTTGCTAAGGGATACCAAATAAATTTGAGTATTACATGTGGGACTTTAGGAGAACACAAGTTATGTCATTTTAGTTACCTATAACTATGTATTCCGGATAATACGTAGTTATAGTATTAAAATTGTATTTTATTTCTCTCTTTAGAACTTGTTGACTAATGTGGAAAGTGAAAAAAAGTACGACCTTAATATTATAACTATGTAATATTATAACCATATATTCCCGGAAGTATATAATTATAAGCAGTTAAAAGGACACTACTTGTGTCCTTAAAAAGGACAAAATGTTTTCCCATTATATATATATATATATATATATATATATATATATATTACCACCGGAGATAAAGCAATCCCAAAATTATATCGTTTTGAGGGTTGAAGAAAGTACTGAAGGATATTTTGGTAATTTTGTTTATTTTTTATAAATCTTACCAAATCATCCGTCATTAATTCCACTAACTCCTCATAATGATATAATTTTGGGTGGTAGGAAATAACTTTATAGTAAACGATAAATTCATATATATATATATGGGTTCCTCATTTCTGCTGTCATTGCTGATGAAAAAACTTGCAGCAAATATATTTACATAAGATACGGAGCCGGATCCTGAAATTAAAAAAATAAAATAAAAAATTCTAAGATCCGGAACCGGATCCTGGTGGAAGTAAGTGTTGCTGCAAATTTTCTGATCTGTAGCAACACAAGAGTTATTAAAGCCTATATATATATATATATATATATATATATGGCAAAATGATTTCTGCAGCTGCTGTACCTACAACAAGTCAGGATCCGCGTCCGGATCCTGTTTTTTTTTTAAAAGCTGTGGGGCCCACTTTTCTGTGTCAGCTGCAGATAACACTGTCTACGGCAACTGTAGAAATGTTAAGCCCTATATATATATATATATATATATATATATATATGAAAAAACATTTTCTACTTTTAAAGGAGAAAATTTTTCTCCTACCAAAGACACATAGTATAAGTGGGGCCTACAAAATAGTGGAGAGAGAAAAAAAATTCATAGTGGGACCCACTTATGTTATGAGTCTTTGGTAGGAGAAAAATTTTCTCCTTTAAAAGAAGAAAATGTTTTCCCTATATATATGTATATATAACTTACGCTGGTGTATTCCTACATTGGAATAAGAATAAAAATTCTTAGCCAAAAATTACTCTTATGCAACATAAGAGTAACCCATCTTTTTTTTGTAATAAATGTGGATTTCACCATATCTATGTCTATAACATAAGAGTCTCATACAACATGAGATTAGATGAACTAAATTTTTTATAGTCATTATTCGACATTGCCCCCCCCCCCCCCCAATCAATATATATATTGAAATTTCGACTCGGGTGCTGTGAAGACCAGTTTTCTCATAATACTTCTCCAAAGATAATTTTTAACTTTGAAATTCCAATAATCACTGAATTATTTTTTGTGAACATGACCACCATTTTTTAGGTGGTCCCTTAGTATAAATAGGAGGATAAAATTGAAAAAGAGGAAAAATAACAGCGATAAAAGGGAAAGAAAAAATTAATGATGTGAGAGGGAGCACCAAAAAATTCAGTGGTCCTGGACCATATTAAATATTTTCCTAAACTGACAAACTGCAACCATTGAATAAATTTAATTATTATTTGTTTCGAAATCAGAGACACCAAATAAATTCAGCTTCACCCATAAACTTTACAATTGGGGTTTGCTCTTTGTTTTAAAATCAAACCCATCGTCGATGGCCATCGACTATGTAGCACCGATACGGACACGAGACACGTGACACGATACGACACGACACTCCGACACGTTAATTCTAAAAAATGTAAGATTTCGACACGTTAGGACACGTTTTCATATTACATAAAAATTTTAATTTATGTAATATATATTGTATGTAATATTTAATAATTTAACAAAAAAAATAAATCTAAACTTATATTATTCATAAATTTTGAAAAGAAACATAAAATATCCCAAATATTTATATTAAACTCAATAAAATGGTAATCGTAATTCAATGAATCTAATAATTGAAACTAAAATTTCAACGCAACGCAACATTTGAACCTTTTTTTTAATTTCTATAACACGTGTTGGAGTGTCCGAGAGTGTCGGAGTGTCCGAGAGTGTCGGGAAGTGTCGGACACGACACGTCAGGATTTTTGAAGTGTCGGTGCTTCATAGGCCATCGAGTCATTTTCTTGTTTTGTAGTCAATATTGGCCATTAAGATGATTAAAAGAGGTTTCAATTTGTTAGGCCGACAGGTTTAATTGGGACAGAAATGTGAGTTGGGCTTTTATTTCAGTACTCGTTTTAGAATAAGATATTTTTGAGGGAATCCTTTAGTATGTTTTCTATAGATTAATGTGTCTAAAAATATAAAATAATTATCATTTTTTTCTTTTCTTTTTGAAACAATTTTGCCACCGTTTTAATTTTCTATAATAACGAATGTGGTGACACTTTAGATCCTTAAGGGCCTGTTTGGTGTGACGTATAAGGCATGATAGTATAAGCTTATACTATACGTTATGACATTTTCAGTTGTTTGGTGTGATCATCGTATAGTATAAGCTTATACATCAGAATTCCCTTATACATTAAAATGATGGATAAGCTTATCAGGTCTAAGGAGGTGGGATAAACCCTGATAAGGAATTGATGTATTAGTTAATACATTCTCATCTTTCTCTTCCCGATTTTAACCCAAGTAACCATTTTCTTCTTCTTCCCTATTTCTTCTTCCCTCGTAGTCCTACTTCCACCTTCACCTTTCCTCATATCTTTATCTTTATATGAATATTGATTACGTCGTCGCATGTAGGTTCAATTTTCGGTTTATATTCAGAAGAACATGGCTCTCTATCAGTTCCGTAATGGGATCCCTTTGACTCAACTCGTGGAGAATCTGCTCTAACATCAATTTTGCTAACAGCTTGATCTACTTGTTTTTCATCTTCTGACCGAAAACTCAACTTTGATTATACAAGTATCATTCACGATAAACCCACGGCTGGAATCCCAAAGTTCAACTAAAGGTATGAAATGTTTATAAAATAGAATCAACTTTTTTTAAAATATTGAAAAAAATTATTTCTATAAAAATTATTTTATTTTTGGACATAATGATCAATAGATTTTTATATAAATTAATATCATATGACATGTTTGAAAGAATTATATAATTTTTTTATTAAAGGGTATTTTTGTCAAAAATATTTATTTTTATTCTATCTGGTACTATACATTGCATTACCAAACACTGGATAGTATTATTTTATACAATACATTATCTTATACAATGTCAAGCCAAACACTGTATAGTTTTGAAATTTAATCAGGTCTTATACAATCAAGTCTTATACTATCAAGTCTTATACTATCAGGTCTTATACTATACTATGCACCAAACATGCCCTAAATGAATAATTTGATTAAAAAAAATTAAAGATTAATTTAAAAGTTTACCTCAGTACTTTTTTTATTTGTGTTGTTTTATCCTAAATTAAAAGAGTCCATATTAAAAGACATTTGAATTAAAAACAGATATATTTATGTAAGGATAATTGATATTGGATTTGGACAATCAACAAGCAATAATTTGACTGAAGAATATATTTGGAGTTGCTACAGACAGAATTTGTGAGATTTATGTGAAAAATAAATAAGCATTCAATTTGAATCACATTTGTGGTACTCAACAATGGCCATTATGATTCCATGTCACTGGCCACCAAAAATGTTCCTTAAAGAAAGAATAGCACCAATGGTTGCTATTCAGTATTGAACAAATTATAGTAAACATAATGACTAAAATATAAAATATATTAGAGCAAAGAGAGAAAAGCATGACTGCTGCAACTCATGACTAGCAAGAGACATAAATTTCCATGCTTAAGAACAAGAGAGAGAGAGCCTAGTGTATTTTCTCTATCTCTAGGATAAAGCACTACTAGTCATCTGGCACTGTAGGTTATCTTTCCATCAACTCATTGGGTTAATTTAATGTTCCTAAAGTGTGAGGGGATGCACATGAAGCAAAATTTAAGGGCTACTTGGAGTATATATATGTCCTTTCAAGTTTAATCCAATCTAAAATTTAATATAGCTCTACAATTATTTCTTCTCTGATGACAATGGCATTCACTAACCATTAAAAAACAACGCGAAGGTTAAAAAGGAGAGAAAAAGGAAAAATAGGTGATCTTTTGTTTGAAAATACAAGAGATGAGAACTAGAACTAGATCTGAAATTTGAATCGTTCTTCTTCTTCTTCTTTTCCTATCTTCTCTCCCAGACTCAGATCTAGTTTCCTTGATCCGATGGTCTCCTTCGTCGTGCTGGTTCTTTTCTCCCCATTGTTGATTCCGCTTCTTGGTTATGATCTCTTTTAGAAACTTAGCATATGATGGCATTTTCTCTAAAGCTTCCACAAAGGGGATATTAATGTGCAACTTCTTAAGAATCTCTAAGAATTTAGAGAAATTTTTCTTCTGCTCGT